ATATATATATATATATATATACAAATAAATACAAATCATACTCAAAAAAGTAACTTTTATTTATTTATATTTTTTACTTTTTATTTTTTTCACACAGTATTTTAGCAATAAAATCTGTATTTTTTTTTTCATTGAGATTAAATGAAGTGAAATCATATAATGTGTATATGGGTAAATTTCTAAATGAAATATGTCTGTCATTTAAAACAAACAAACAAAAAGATTATATGCATCTTGTGTACAAAAATAACTATATTTTAAGAGCGGATTTTAAGATTTTTTGAACTTTGTTCATTAAAAAAAGGACATTTCCCCACACTTCACTGCCATAATACAGCAATGAAAATCATCCTTTCATTACTTGAAATAAAATAAACATTAAATAAAATAATGATGAATAAATAAATGCAATAATAAATAATATAAAAAAATTTTCTTTCTCCCAACTTTTCTCATTTTCATTTAGTTTAACTTGATGTGCTAAAATAGCTACAACTGAAATAAAATGAATAAAAACTATATAGGCATATTTAAAAAACAATAAAATAAAACAAACAAAAAAAAAAATTTCAAAAATATTAATAAAACAACAAACTGATGCATACTATTTTTTAATAAAATATTATTAAACATTTTCATTCTCAATAATATCTGTGACCCTGGAGCACAAAAGGAGTCTTAAATCGCTGGGGTATATTTGTAGCAATAGCCACATTGTATGGGTCAAAATTATAGATTTTTCTTTTATGTCAAAAATCATTAGGATATTAAGTAAAGATCATGTTCCATGAAGATATTTTGTAAATTTCCTACCGTAAATATATTAAAACTTAATTTTTGATTATTAATATGCATTGCTAAGAACTTAATTTGAACAACTTTAAAGGTGATTTTCTCAATATTTTGATTTTTTTTGCACCCTCAGATTCCAGATATTCAAATAGTTGCATCTCAGACAAATATTGTCCGATCCTAACAAACCATACATCAACGGAAAGCTTATTTATTCAGCTTTCATATGATCTATAAATCTCAATTTCGAAAAACTGACCCTTATGACTGGTTTTGTGGTCCAGGGTCACATTTGTATTATTAACATTACTAATATTTTCTGTATTTTAAAGTGTAAATGTAAATATCAAATGAAACAATGTCATATTGAAAAAAAAACTTTAAAATAAGTCTGATTGTCTTTAAGCAGAAGATAATTGTTTTCTTTTGATTTTTTGGGTAAGATGTAATATATTTTTCATGAGATTCATCCAATCATGTTTATTAGACATGTTTCATGGAAAAGCCAATTTGCAATTTGAAAGCTTTTACAATTATGTATTATTATGGTGGTTATAATTTTTTTTTAAGAAATTTAACATTATATCAGATCAGTTATATATCATATCACTTAATCATATAATGATATGATATAATGATATAATAATATAATTTATTATATGTCATATCAGTTAAATATATTTACAGCGTATGAACAGGTGACTCACTCTCGGCAGTGCTGAGTGTATCTGGGCTGACGGGTGCGGGGCTGATCTCAGAACAGCCTCCGCTGAGGATCTGCTGAATCAGAGCAGGGCTGATCTGTGTGAACTGATCTCTGCTCAGCGATGAAGAGTTCAGCCGGTGAATCCTCAACAGGTCTCCAGCGCTGAAACAGGCCTGCGAGTGCAACAGAATCCACACTGAGACATGCAAATGCACGAATGCATAAAACATATTTCCATATTAATATTTAATTTCACACCACAGCGGCGCCGCTGCTCTGATAATCACGCGTGAAACACTCGCATTTACTCTTTGCTGAATTATTAATTCCACGCATGTCAGACGACAGGTCTTATTTAGACGCCGTGTGAGCTTAGAGAAATTGGAAATATTCATCATGACTAAAAACGAGCTGGACGTTCGTCAGCACATGCACTCTTAATTTGGCTGTGATTATGACTGGGGACAGATGAAACGCGTATGTCACAAGATCCATCAAGAGAAAGAAACATTAGCGGCCGCTGACACTTCATGTTACAGGCCTCGTAATCATTTCTCACGCAGCCACACGATTGCTCTCTTCGTCAAGTGCCACGGCTAAATGATTGGATTTCTGTGGCTTGCAAAGATTTCCCATGATGCCCCATAAAACTATAGAATGTACAGGGAAAAAGACATGTTTTTATGTTGCTGTAAGGTTTAGTGAAGCACAGAATCAGGAATTTAAATTTGAATAATAGAAAGCGAAATGCAATTCAAAGAAATTCAACACAGGTCATGCATTCAGCGAAATAAAGTATCCAAAACCCTTGTCCATAAAATCAAAGTTAATTTATAGCTATAACAGTCCCTTTGATGAACAATGGTGTGAGATCAGCTATTTGTCCAGATGTGTTACTTAAAGGTTTGTTCAAATTAATGCATGATTGATTACCACAACTTGTGAGTTGATGTAATGTTAATCATTTAATAATGCAAAAAGTAATGATACAGTAAAATAAAGATTTACTCCAAATTATATAAATATTTAATTTTATTTATTTTGTTATATTTTATTACAAAATATTTTATTTGTTAACTTGCATTTCATGGAATCACCACCACTAATAATAATAATAATAATAATAATATGTTTTTTTCTGTATTTTGAAATGTGCTTTATTATTGCATGATTTATTACCGCAAGATTTCCCAAACTAGGGTTTGTGAGTTGATGAAAAATTATTGATTTAAACTGCAAAAAGTAATATATAAAATAAAACAATAATTTTGGGAAAAAAACTATTAAAATAAAAACGTACTAAAAATGATTTAAATATAAATATTTGATTTGTTAATCCTTTTTATGTGACCATTAATAATACATATACTTTTTTTTTTACTTTGAGATTTATATATATATATATATATATATATATATATATATATACAAAATTTTTTTAAAGTGTATATATTTTAGATTTTTCTAATGTGTTGTTAAATGATTAATTATTCTATGTTAAATTATTAAATCTTTAAATATATTAAATTAAGAAAATCTTGTAGGTCA